AGGAATGATGGAGGAGGGAAGGAAGATGAAGGCAGGGATGGAGTGGGAAGGAATGATGAAGGCAGGGATGGAGGGAAGGAATGATGAAGGCAGGGATGGAGTGGCAGTTAGTTAAACCATTGGCCTTGTGAACACCCCGAGCAATTATACACGGGCAACAATAGCGACTAACACACCGTTGAGAGAGAGAGAGAGAGAGAGAGAGAGAGAGAGAGAGAGAGAGAGAGAGGAGAGAACTCACACCGAGTCAAGGAGTGAGAGAGGTCGTATTGCTCGGGGAAGAGCGAGTAAATGAGGGAGGGAGGGAGAGGAGGAGAGGGAGGGAGGGGGAGGGAGGGAGGGAGGGAGAGGGAGGGAGAGAAGGAGAGGAGGAGAGGGAGGGAGGGGGTTATACTTTCATTTACTCTCCTGTCTCCTACCCCTCAAGGCTTACCGTAACCTCCCCCCCCTCTCCCCTCCATACTACCCCCACCTGCCGCAGAAGGCCAGGTAGCGGGGCAGGACAGGCCGCACGCGGCACTAACGGGACAACAGCCGCCGCCGGACCAACTTTTACTGCGGCAAAAACTTTCCAGGAATGTCGGAGAAAGTTACTGATGAAGGTCGCCTGGAGGTCGCCTGGAGGTACCTCTTACTACCTCACACACGACCTTTTACTACCTCACACACGACCTCTTAGTACTTCACACACGACCTCTTAATACCTCACACACGACCTCTTGGTACCTCACACACGACCTCTTGGTACCTCACACACGACCTCTTGGTACCTCACACACGACCTCTTAATACCTCACACACGACCTCTTGGTACCTCACACACGACCTCTTGGTACCTCACACACGACCTCTTGGTACCTCACACACGACCTCTTAGTACCTCACACACGACCTCTTAGTACCTCACACAAGACCTCTTAGTACCTCACACACGACCTCTTAGTACTTCACACACGACCTTAGTACCTCACACACGACCCTGCACTCCCCACACACGACCTCTAGTACCTCACACACGACCTCTTAGCACCTCACACACGACCTCTTAGTACCTCACACACGACCTCTTGGTACCACACACGACCCTCTAGGCACCTCACACACGACCTCTGGTACCTCACACATGACCTCTTGGTACCACACACGACATCTAGTACCTCACACACGACCTCTTTGGTACCTCACACACGACCTCTTGGTACCTCAAACACGACCTCTTGGTACCTCACACACGACCTCTTAGTACCTCACACACGACCTCTTGGTACCTCACACACGACCTCTTACTACCTCACACACGACCTCTTGGTACCTCACACACGACCTCTTGGTACCTCACACACGACCTCTTGGTACCTCACACACGACCTCTTGGTACCTCAAACACGACCTCTTAGTACCTCACACACGACCTCTTGACCTACTCGTGTGGTTCCTAAACACAAATATATTCTTGCTTCTTTTGCCAGAGAGAGAGAGAGAGAGAGAGAGAGAGAGAGAGAGAGAGAGTAGCAGTAGAGAAACGCTCGTCAACACCTATGCCACAGTGCCAATAACTGTGCCAAGCGAGTCTAGGAAGTAAGAGAGGGAGTCAAGGCCAGGCTGAGCTGTGTGTTTTAGCTCAGGGATAAGACTCTCTCTCTCTCTCTTACTCACTCACTCTCTCTCTCTATTTCTCTTTACAATATTTTCTCTCTTTCTCTCTCTCTCTCACTCTCAATACGAAATGGTGACCAAGAAAGCGTGTTTTAGGTTACCAAATGGAAGAAACATTGACCAGAACTATATGGTTAAATGGCTTTGGTTAATGACAATGTAGTACCTAGGTTGTGTTGGTATATTGAGAGTATAGTATTTAATGAATAGTGAGGTTGATGGTATATATATATGGATAGATGGATACAATGATGGATAATGTCATTCCATCATTCGTATTCATTATCCTCAAATAAATGATACCTGAAAATGTGTGTGTGTGTGTGTGTGTGTGTGTGCGTGTGTATTTGCTCGCGTCATCCTTCAGGAAAAAAAAAACAGCCTGAGAGTGGGTACTTCCCTGCTTGGTACTTCCCCGTGTACTTCCCCAACACTGAAAGAACAACTTCCCCGCCACAGCCAAAAGCCCCAGTATGTGTGTTATTTATTTCATTTATGCCTACAGAATAATAATAATAATAAACCATGCAGATGTAAACGATCAAGATAAGAAGACCGAAAACAACGAAAACTTGATTGTCTTGAAAGAATTAATTAACGAAAACAACGAAAAGTATGAATTAACGAAAACAACGAAAAGTGTAAATTAACGAAAACAACGAAAACTTGATTGTCTTGAAAGTATTAATTAACGAAAACAACGAAAAGTATGAATTAACGAAAACAACGAAAAGTATGAAGTAACGAAAACAACGAAAACTTTATTGTCTTGAAAGTATTAATTAACGAAAACAACGAAAAGTATGAATTAACGAAAACAACGAAAAGTATGAAGTAACGAAAACAACGAAAACTTTATTGTCTTGAAAGTATTAATTAACGAAAACAACGAAAAGTGTAAATTAACGAAAACAACGAAAACTTTATTGTCTTGAAAGTATTAATTAACGAAAACAACGAAAAGTATGAATTAACGAAAACAACGAAAACTTTATTGTCTTGAAAGTATTAATTAACGAAAACAACGAAAACTTTACTGTCTTGAAAGTATTAATTAACGAATACAACGAAAACTTTACTGTCTTGAAAGGATTGATTAATGCAAACTTTATTGTCTTGAAAGTATTAACGAAAGCAACGAAAATTTTAGTGTTCTGAAAGTATTAACGAAAACAACGAAAACTATTAACGAAAACAGCGAAAACTATTAATTAACGAAAACAACGAAAACCACCCAATAAAAGACATAAATAAAAGGTAAAAATAAATAAAAATTACCCGTCAGGAATATTATGAGTCAAACTGAGGCTCATCTTCATCTCAGGTCCAGAAAAAAACAGTTGAATAAAAACCCAACAAAAAACGTAATTAATGTTTTAGTTTTGTTTTTGTTTTTAGTGAACTTTGGGCCTCTGTACAATGGTCAAAAACACATTAACATCAGAACAAGTAATACTATTGGGCATAAAACCATATTAACAAATAAAAACGTCTAACACACACACACACACACACACACTATACAAAAATATGACGATCAATTACTAACTAATGTGTAAAAACAAAAATAAAAAACAAGGAAAAACAAATAAAAAATCTACATAATATATCCTCCTCCTGCTACTCCTACAGGCAAACGATACCCCCCCCTCCCCATCCTTCAGGCTAACACATAATATTGGGCGTTTCATCATGAGGAACAGCCACCTCTGACTGTTGACGCGGTACTGACCACACACCACTCAGATCACTCTCCCTTTATTCCCTCCACCTAAACATCTGGTGGTTGCCAAGACGTCTTTAATTTGACCTTTATAATCACTAGAGTATAATGACAGAGGTATTATAATTTATCTATATTATCTAAATAAGCTGTTCTTAATGGAGGTAAGGTTAGGTTAGGTTGGGAGTTTATTTTACAAGGTGATGTTAATGTACCTGTATACCTGGAGTAATTAATGGGATTATTATTCTATGGTTATTCCCTTTATATCACACAAGTTAAGTAACTAGACGCTAAAATACGTCTTAGAAAAAAATCGTCTTGTTTTTCTCTGGATTTATCATTAGACACACACACAAAAAAGGTATATTATATGCATCATCATCATCATTATCATCATCACTACCATCATCATCACCACCATCATCACTACCATCATCACTACCATCATCATCATCATCATCATCATCACTACCATCATTATCATCATCATCATCATTATCATCATCACCACCATCATCACTACCATCATCACTACCATCACCACTTCAATCATCATAATCACTCACCATCACACCACTCACCACCACCACAGCATCACCATCATCATCATCATCAACACCATCATCACTACCATCATCATCATCATCATAGTCATCATCATATCATCACTACCATCATTATCATCATCATCATCATTATCATCACCATCATCATTATCATCATCGTCATCATATCACCACCATCATCATCATCATCGCTACCATCATCACCATCATCATCATCATCATATCACCGTCACCATCATCATCATCATCACTACCATCATCACCATCATCATCATCATCATCATATCACCGTCACCATCATCATCATCATCATCATCACTACCATCATCACCATCATCATCATCATCATCATATCACCGTCACCATCATCATCATCATCACTACCATCATCACCGTCATCATATCATCACTACCATCATCACCACCATCATGACTACCATCACGCCTCACCACCACCACCACCGGCATCCGCCTCACCACTTCATCACCACCAATCACTGCAACCTCACCACCACCACCACATCACTGCCACCATCATCACCATCATCATCATCATCGTCATCATATCGCCACCACCATCATCATTGGTATTTTTATTATATTTTTCTTTATTATTATTATTATTATTATTATTATTATTATTATTATTATTATTATTATTATTATTATTATTATTATTATTATTGTTGTTATTATTATTATATTTTCGGCCCCCAGGCTCTGATGTGGCGGGTCAGTGATCTGTGGCCGGAGGGACTAATCCCCGTTATAAGAAATATGAGCATGTTCACTATATGAACAGGTTCACTACAAGGTTCACTATATCAACAGGTTCATAACTACATGTTCACTGCAAGGTTCACTATATCAACATGTTCATAACTACATGTTCACTGCAAGGTTTACTATATCAACATGTTCATAACTACGTGTTCACTACAAGGTTCACTATATATTCACTATAACAGGTTCAGCCTCTTACTACATTATTTCTTACACCTCACAAACGGAGTCTCTTGTCTGGTCCTCCGCGTGTTGGATTATAATAAAAAATGAACAGTCTTATCACTAACAACGGCAACGAGCGCCGGGCACATCGCCCAGCCAACGAGGGCAAAAAACAGAAAACTCGACCACTTGACCCCTGGGTGACCCGTATGAGGGCCCAATGGGTCGAGGAAAACATAACAGAGTCCGTCAAAGCCCCGAACTCCCTGTTGGGAGCCGTAATCGGTCCTGGAGGTTCCATTGTCAAGGAGCTACAAGACTGTTTCAAGGTTAGGGTACTAGTTCCTCGCAAGGGAGCCGGGGACGAGCCCATTCTCATTGAGGGCAAAAACAAAAACCAAGTTAGAGACGCAGCTCTCCGCGTCAAACAACTCATCCAGAACGAAGAGGAGCGGCGCCGGGTTAACACTCCGGTTAGTCGGAGTTTAAGCATCCCCAAGGCCTATCACAGCAAAATTATCGGGTTCCAAGGCCAAAACATCCGGCACCTGACTTCATCACTGAAAATACACATTATGGTTCCTCATAAATATGATAAAAGTGAGCTGATCACCCTCACAGGTCTTCCTCAACAGGTGGACCAAGGGGTCAACGAGGTATACGATCTGATGAAAAAATTATTCCTCAAAAGGTGATACCAACTCACTTCCTCCAATCCAACTCCTAAAAAAGAAAATAAAAAAAAAATAAAAAAATAAATAAAAAAAAATAAAAAATAAAAAAATAAAAAATAAAAAAATAAATAAAAAAAAAGGACCCTCTCACCACTGGCCTCCACGCGGCAGGGTCTGGAAACTCGGGGATTTATCTCTGAGGCTAACAGTGGTTTATTATTATTATTATTATTATTATTATTATTATTATTATTATTATTATTATTATTATTATTATTATTAGAGAGAGAGAGAGAGAGGTAGAGTAAGAAAAATAGATAACTGGATAACGTGAAAGAGATAGGTAGATAGTGAGAGAAAGTGAGAGAGAAAACTTATCTCACCTTTATCAGCGAGAGGGACAGACTTGCCTAGAAGACTGTCTTGACCCGAGAGAAAGTTATTACCACCAAAACACACACACACACACTCTCTCTCTCTCTCTCTCTCCACTTATCTATCCATCTATCCATCTATCCATATATCTATCCATCTATATCATAATCTGTCTGTCTGTCTTCCCTTACTCCCAAATTTACCCACAAAACCTAATTATAAAATCCCAAAATACCAAAACATGCACCGATAAAATTCCTGTTATATTTACCAAGAATATCTGTAATTAACTCATACAGAGCGGGAATATATGACGTGTGTATGACTTCCCTTCAGCGCAGCATACTACTACTACTACTACTACTACTACTACTACTACTTTTTTTTTTTTTTTTTTTTTTACAAAAACGTGGCCTCCAGCTCTCCCCAATAGCCACACAATTTTCACCATTTATTTACCTTAATATTAAATATCCGTTATGCTAGTTTTTATCCTATCTGTGTTAAATTAGCTGGAGCCGCAGATCTATGCGGCATTCAGTGACTGTAGTCTCATAGACAATATCTGCAGCAGTTGTCGGAGTAGGGGCAGAAGCTCTCGTTCCCCTACTACTACTACTACTACTACTACTACTACTACTACTTTGCTGTCACTCGTGATCGAGTACGACGATCATCCAGCTATGATAAAATAATATGAGTTAAGGATGTCACCTAGGTTGGTGAGTTTTGAGGTGACTAAAGAGGCCGATACGGGACCGGCAGGGCCGTCCACAGACGTTGCACATGTGGAGGGCTGCATCTAGTGTGGGAGGGGCGGCGGCAGTGTCTTTCCGGCGCTTGTCTGCCTCGGTATGCAGTCGGGTTAACTCGGAAGTATTGACACTTCGTGTGGTGCTCCTCCAAGCGTTACGGTGTGGAGTGAACATCTCCCAGGTGAGGGGGTCGATTTGGCACTTTTTCAGGTTTGTCTTAAGACTATCCTTATACCTTTTCAGTTGCCCAACAACGTTATGTTTACTCTTCGTTCGGTGACTGTAAAGTAGTTGCTTTGGCAGTCGACTGTCGTCCATACGGGTAACATGGCCAGTCCAGCGTAGTTGTTCATGGATAATGGTAGTAGCCTCGATGGTCTCTCACTCCTCCCCTCCACACACACACAACTTCCTCCTGTCTCCCCCCCCACAAACATCTACAAATGTCTCCGCCTCATCTCAGGTTTACCTCCCCCCTCCCCCCACAACAACATCCTGTCATTCTTCTCTCAACACACCCTAATTCTTTTTTCCTCCATTTAATTACCTTCTTCCAGGATAGACTTATTTCCTCTAATTTTTATTTTATCCTCTTAACAAAATCCTAAGATGGTCATTTGTTTGCATATTTTCATTTAATGTCTTATAAATATACTTTTCCCTTCAATTATCATTATTTTCCTTACTATTTACTTTACCAATTTTGAGTTATCATCTTCACACACACACACTTTTATCGATATTTACCGCATTTTCTCTTCTATTTACTTACATAATAACAACACTTAACAACACATAGAAACACACTGTTAACCCACGTAATAGTCTTGTTCGTCCTGGAAAACAAACTGTACTAAACTTGTTATTTCAAACTGCATTTAGATTATTTTCTGTACCTTGTTAACTCTACTTTAGTCCTGTGAAGAATTAAGTTTATTTCCTTCTGTCTAATCATGACACCTCACACCTGTCTTCTTCCACCTCACACCTGTTCTTTACCTGATGATCTTAATTAGCTCTATGTCATACACCCACTTGATATCATTAAAGGCAAATTACTACCTCATAACCACCTCACAATGCCGCCAGGTGACACTCATTCCACAACATAACACACCTGACTCATTAACACACTGGCGTCATACGTGCCAGGTGAGTCCAGGAGGCTTCTTTTAACACATGTATCTTGGTATTTACTCTAACTTGTAAACACGCTTCAAGCCTTTTAGTTTCCCCTTAATAACACTGATCTGCAAAACACGGCGGTAAACACGTCCTTCGAAACCAAGGTCAACTGCACC